AGTTGATTGTAACATACACCATTGTAAGCTGTTATTTAAAAAAATAGTCCCGCTGGGTTTCCGCTGGTTCTTTCCAGGACAGAGGTTTTTTCCGAACCAGTAGTAAATTAAAAAAAGTGACTTTCAATAAATATTATTTATAATCTATATTGAATAAAAAAAGTTTCTGATTCAACTGCCAGTTAGCACTAGTCAGCTGTCCTAAACTAGAGATGTCCTAACTTAGACAAATATCTCAAAAATCATTTGTTGAGGGATATCGGCGTAAATTCGGTTTAATTACCTTGTAGTAGCGATGTAAGAAAAGAATATCTACTGACACCATCCCATAACGTCCCGTGGGTATTGTAAGAGTCGACATAGGGAAACAAACTAAATGCGCTGCAGATCCTTCCTAATAGGAACTAAAAAAATAAAATAGAAAAATTGCAGTCGCCAACCGCCTGCTGAACGTGACAACTGTGGCAAGTGTTCTCCCTAATAGGCAATCTATGGGCAGGCCTATTCTTACCAGTAGACTGGATGGATAATCTACTATTATAGATTATCCATCCAGTCTACTGGTAAGACAACAGTAATATCGGTATGATGTTAATATGGCAGACATAAACTGTTAAAAATTGCAACCTACATTGTCAAAAAAAAGAAATGTACTTACACATATTATCGAGTATGGTGTCACATGAAAGGTAATTTTTTTATAGTATAAGGGTGACAAACGAGCACCCAGTCCACCTGATGGTAAGTGGATGCTGTGGCTCATAGACATCTACATTTATCCTCGATTCAGAATCAAAACACAGATGCGTGAAAGTGCCTGAGGACTAAGATGGATTGCCCCATTTTCAGTAAAAAAGGGATCTACAGCACATAGCACATCATATGAAATAAAGCAGTATTAAACTACTATTTTACGCTGATATTCTGTGAGAGCATGGTCGTTCCCCGATTGAGCCGACCCATTCATGCTACAACCTTAATATAGCTGCAGCGACAAACGGACTTCAAATGAATGAATGTTTTCAATTGAACTATGTTTTTCCGTGTTTTACATGATATCTTTGCCAGATGTAAACTGATCAAAATATTTTTTATTAAATAGATCATTAGGAGAGTTCCAAATTCAATAAGAAGCAATGTTTCTACGCAGGTTGGAAAAATAAGGGATGAAATTTATTGTGTATATGAATTCAGAAGACATTCCAGCTGTTACCTTGAGGTTTAATAATGGCTTCTATAAGTAAAATAATTTGTGCACAAATTCAGTGCTAGGACAAAGTATAATAATGTTCTCCAGATCGAACTTCTTTTTAGCATTAGTGTGGCTAGTCTTAATGGAGACTAGTCATTTACGATCGACAGGATTATAGTACCAGAGTATTAGCACAGATAACACAGGTAGGCAAGCACAGGTGCACTCTATTCCCTCACCCACATAATCCGATAGGACACGTCCAATGAGAAATTAGGAGCAGAATACAGTCTTTGTAAAACATAAGGAATCATTAAATAATAAACTTTTTTTGTAATTACAGACTGTGTCTATTTCCCACAGGCACTACCAAACAATTTCTAGTAGGCACCAATTTCCCATCAGTGACGAAGCTAGAGCTCCAAACTAGGCTAAGTCCAAGATATAAATTGATAAAAATATAGATTGTTGTTTTAGCAGTAGCAAAAATACACCAATCTTGATCTGTCTCCACACTTCAGTTTCATATGCTGTCAAGGACGTGTTTAACAAAGCACACAGAAGGCATACTACTGCTAGATAGATTGTATTACATATCAGCAATTGCATAGCTTCAGTGGCTTTGAAGAAAGCCGTTTGGGTTTGTTTAAGCGGAAAGAAAAAAATATTTACATCCAATACAATACATGAACAGAAGTAAAACACGAACAAAGTACAAAACAACTATGTACAAAATTAAAAAACAAATTATTTACATTCTAATGGATAAGAGATAAGATAAGTGGAATCATCTCGCTTTCTTAAGGAAAGATTTAATTACGTCCATTTAAAATGTTGGTGAATGTTTTAATTGAACCAATAACTGTTTTTTAATTGCGATAATTGATAAGCCTGAAATAGACTCTTGACCTTGTGTATTATCTCAACAAAGTTTAAAGATTTTACATTTTCCTCTCTGATTAGCACTTTAAAACACTTCAATTGATGAATTTGACAAGGAACACTATTATCCTCCATTTTCACTAAAAATCTTTAAAAAAGCAAATTTTGAACTCGCAATATTAAATCGCCTAAGCCAAACACACAGAGTAAATAAACATTGAAATTTGAAATAAACATATTGCCCGCGCGCCTCCGCTTTTGACCAATTCATTCCTAAAGCCTGGCTTTAAATCCCTATTTAGAAAGAGAGCGATTGTCTTCTCGAAAGCCCCTTAAAAACCCACGCGAGCGAGGGAGACAACTAATCGCTCTATTAAAACTCATTTTTATGACAGCAGAAGGCAATACGAGGTCATCGGTAACCATGTGACGAACAGTGGAGTGCGCGGGAAATTTGAAATAGTTTGAAACAGTTTACGAGTTATTTTATTAGTTGATATTATTGATTGATTCAGTTTTTATAAATAAGATTTACTACTTAATTATGATTAATGAGAATATATGTAAAATCCGAATTCTGAGAAAGCACTGTATTGTATTGTATTCCCTGCACTGAATATGTTTCAAAAGTGAGAAGAGGCCTGTATTCAGCAGTAGAAACAAACATAACTTTTTTTACTTTTAAATTACTACTCTATGCCAGATATTATATTGAATAGCATCTATGAGAAATGTCTATACTTCAATTCATAAAATATTAGACTACTGTGGCCACTTACCATAATCTTTTTATAAAATGAGGGTGACAAACTATCACACAGTCACATGATGGTGGATACTATGCCACATAGGCACCTACATCTATCATTGGTTAAGAATTAAAATAGAGATGTGTACTCCTGATAACTAAGATGGAATGCCTTATTTCCATTAAAAACAGTCTCAGGTTCTCTACACTCACTATACAAAACACAGCAGTATTAAGTTGCTATTTTACACTGGTATTCTATGAGAATGTGGTCCTTCTCTGGTCGAGCCGACTCATTCACGCTTCAACCACAATATAGTTAGCAGCATAGCTCTACCACATATATGCGAATGTGTTTGTTTGTTGCTCATATCTTAACATAAATCTGTCTTCAGATTATGGATTAAGCTTGTTATATATCACCATTTACTGTATTTAGAAAAAAACATCCTCAATTTATTATATTTATAGGCATTTCGTCTAGATCAAAATAAAATATAATTTTCCAGTAATTTATTCTTAAAAAATCTATTAGTTACTTGAAATTAATAAAAATGCTGACTTTGTTTCACTATTCAAGCACAATTCTAGTATCACATTACAACACTGAGTCATGGAATTACTAAAACAAATTATAAAGTGGAACAAATGAAACATGAATAAGTACTTTTTATACATTATTAATCTATACAAACGGAGAGCCTTGGTAGCTCAGTGGGTTAGCTGTTGCTGTAAATTTCACTATACCAAGTACCAATATAACCATACACAAATTTGCAAATAACAATGTAATTGTTGATTGCAAATCTGAGTGCCGATTTATCACATGCTTGGCGGTGAAGGAAAACATTGTAAGAAAACCCATATGTCTGAGAAACAAGAAAATATCTATTTTGTGCTGCGTACACTTCCTTACCCTAAAACCATCTCAAGTGAGAGGAGACCTGTGCCCAGTAGTACGACATATATAGGCTGTAACTTTAATCTATAGAAATAAATAAAACTTAAATGTCTGCTTGTAATATAAACGCTTTCTTTTAAAGGCACATAGCTGATGTTACAAGGAGTAACTTAAGCTACTTTTTTTTTAGAATAAGAGAAAAAAACCCTAAATTACACACAGGCTGTCGGAACAACTAGTATTTCATAGAGCCACCAATATGGTTTCTTATAACATTCAAGCCAGCTACCAGTCTTACAGTCCACCTAATGGTAAGGAGTAGTAAGGTTAATGTAGTCCATGGACACCTGCAGCCAACTTTAACTAAATAGGCTACAAATGCATTGTCACCCCTGGGGACTAAGATGGAATTGCCACACAGTACAGCTAATTAACCTAGTCAGGTACACTTTTTTTAATAGGATAGGGTCATATATCAGCATGCAGTCCACCTGATGGTAACTGGTTTCCGTGGCCCATAGACATGTACATCTATCCTCCATTATGAATCAAAATGCAGATGTATTGTCACCTGTGAGGACTAAGATGGAATGCCTCATTTCCAGTAAAATGGAGCTCCGGTTCTCTACACTCACCATACGAAACACATCATCATTAAGCTACTATTTGACGCTGGTATTCTGTGAGAGCGTGGTCCTTCCATTGTTGAGCCGACCCATTCATGCTACAACTACACTACTAATGTAACTGCAGCATGACTACCATATACACTACATACACTACACTATAGCTACCTGATCAGATATGGTATTATGTTATGATAACCTGATCATAATGTAATACCTTTCAGCACTCGTAATCAACCTCAATAAATGGCACAGATGCATTGTCACTTCTGAAAACTAAGATAGAAAATACTTCAGAGCCTGTAAATTTACTTTTTTCCCTTCGAAATGAAACTACAGTTGGTGCACTGATGCTTGGCGACAGGAATATGTAGAGTGGTACTAACAACCTAGCGATAAATTATTAATTTAAGAAAATTACAATTGCATTGACGCACAGGTGACAGAAAGAAATGAAACTCAAGATGTACAGCAGCATCTCCCAACAATTCAAAATAATAAAAAATTGCAATAGCTAACATGCTTGCTTAGCGTGGCAATTTATGAGGGAATATATTTGGAAGTTGAATTACGGCAGATCCGAATTAAATGAAAAAAAAAATACTTTCTTAAATCTAGCATAAATTACGATTACTTTAAAGTAGTACTTGCCATCTCAACCGGTTGATTTGCATCCGAGGGCAAAGCCACCCGCTCAACCTTTGAATAAACTGTATGCCGATAGGTGCATCTCGGCTTACTCCAGTCATTTTGAAACACTTTCCTCGCATGAATTTTCTAACTAATTCAAAAAATGCGCCCCTCATAAACACCAAACGAAAACTATATTGAAAACATAGTAAATTTTTAAGTGGAACCTTTGTTTACGGTTGGAAGAACGTGAATCTAACGTCGCCTATAACTCGTTTATCATTACTAATAGGAATAAATTACGTTACTTTTACACTGCACTTTTAAGTAGTGAGTCAATAAGGACAATACTTTTTTAGAAATTGTATTCCTACTTTATTTTGCAACCAAAATGCACACTGCTGCACATAGATGACACGTCTTTGAACTATACTAATTGTCACTTCTAATGTCAGTGTCAATGTCACATTTTTGACAAATATTTTTCGCACTGTGTTATCAACAGTGCTGCCAACATTAAAATCTAGCTCCCGTTGCAGAGAACACTATAATCCCGTCAAATCCCGTCAAGTACGGTAGACAAGTGTCAATCATTCATTTCTATGAAGTGACCGAATCATTCTATAGTATTGTTTACCATGTACATGAAAGTATTGGCTCTTTAAAGAGTTTGCCCAAATTTCAGTGCCTATTTATTTAGCTTTGGTGTACCACCTATGGTATGCAGCATCACCAGTGAGCAATTAGAATCGCCAGTGAAGAACACTGGAACAGATTGTTAGGTGTAAAAGCGGCAGAACTACTTTTCATAAAATATAACTTACCGCTACTTAATTTTGAATGTTAATTAAAAGTTTTACTTGTATTTTTTTAATAAGTATTATTTCCGTTTCCGCATCAGTTTCTGTTTCCGTTTCTGCAAAAAAAATATTTTTAACATCTGTTTCCGTTTCTGCTTCCGATATGACACTTCCGTTGCATCACAAATAAGAATGTATTGCACATTTTTTTCATATTTTAAACTAAAAAAATGAATAATATTATAATTTAATTTCTGCCATTTCCAAATTATTTTTATTTCGAAAACAAATCTTAAAAAAACTTAATTTTTTGTTGTCCCGTTAAAAAATCCATAAGCCGTTAAACTTAATTTTTTCCCGTTGCCAATCTCGCTGTCCCGTCAAGTCTGGTTATCAGCGTGGTTTTATTGAAGACAAGGAATATTATACTACTCTCTAACGAAAGTGATTGAAAGTTACGTTGACATGTTTAAATAGTTAAATTTTTATGCTAAAAGCTATTAAGTGATATTTTTTATATATTCCACCATAAGTTATTAATTAACAAATAATTATTTCTAAATAATACTGGAAACAAGAGGCGTCTGAGGATTTGTTTGACAAAACTGACCGAAATTGTTGCTTAAAACGAATATAATTATATTTAAAAAAAAGTATTAGCTGCTTTCAGTGGTGAGAGGTAGCGATTTCTCTAAACCTCATCTATGGGCGGTGTATTGAGTCTAGGGTCAATGCAGTTGCTAGGAAGTTAGGTATCCTTGCAAAGGCACGCGGTGATACTTCACGCCGGAACAGCTTCTTAATACTATATAAAGCGCACGTTCAGTCGTGCATGGAGTAGTACTGTCACATATAAAATGCTTTGGACTCAGTGGAGAAACCTGCGAACAGACTTATTGGTAACCATGATTTGTTGAAACTAATCTTGTTAGTCTCGAGCAGACACAGAGTAGGCAGCCTCTCGGTATTCTATAGAATTCATTTCGGAGTGTGTCCGCGCAGTAACTATGTGCTTTAATTCCTTTCTCCATTATTTACAGGACAACCAAGTGATTAGTGGGTCTTCACTACTCACGCGCATGCGAATTAAACAATTTACTTCGTTCATAATATGCATAGCAGAAAGTGGAATATCTCTCGGCGTCTGTCTTTTCGTGCGAATACAATCTGAACAGGCAATCTGAACAGGCATTTTTTACGATAATGTAATGCAATTTACCATCTAGGTTGTCATCACTACTTACCACCAAGTGGGAGTGAGGTCAAGAACTGGCTTATAAAAATATTTTTTCTTACATTTAAGTTATATGTGTTAACAAAAAGCCACCTAAAATGTAAGAAATGTAACCTTCTGGCAATTCTGATTTCTCGATCGATACAAAACCATAGATAACACCATAATCATAAAGCAAAGATGTATTTTTTTATTCTTCCACGTTCTAACAACCATCCGATACAGATTTAAAATTTTCGACAAACGGAGCAAAGTCATATTATGTAACTTAAGTGCGGCACGTAATATAAAAAGGTATATTCAGTACCTAAACGGCACACACATTAAACTATTAATAAAGGAATAATCTGAACAAATCTGGTGGGTTATCCGGTCACGGTTTTCTGAATGTTATCTCGGTTTTAGACAAGTTTTAGAGCCAATTAAGTCTTGTAGAGTATTAAGAGACGATCGCAGAAGACCCCACGACTGGTTATTTGGAACAGAGGTAAAACCCTAGTGTGAGATGCGACGTGCGTAGATACTTTGACAACTTCACATCTCAGGGGTTAACTACCTCGTTTAGAGCCGGGGCGGCTTCCTTAGCGGCTGAACTAAATAAGTTGCACAAATACAAGTCTCGAGTATGAACTAAATTAGTTGCATAAATACGTGCGGCTAATTTCGTAAAGGAACTATATTCGCGACCACAATTGTCTTTTATACAAAATGTTTTGTTTTTCGGCGATTATTACATTTTTTTACAGGATTATTACATGTAGATTTAAAAAATACCACAACGTCGCTTTTTCTACATACAGCTAACGTTCCGGCGAATGCACTCCACTTAGACTCGGGTATTATACTAAAAAAATAATTTGTTGTGTAAATGGTCGCTTGCCTATACTCGTAATTCAAGGCTTATAAATACTGTTTTCGATTTCGCACGCAATTAAATTTTCTAATTACCTTAAAATTTATTAGAAAATTTTTAGTAATGTTGCTTCATTTTCTTCGCACACTGATTCGAGAAATATGTTCTTAGTTGTGAGTAAAGTTTATTTAATGAGCATCGTAATAGACACTAGTTATCAAAGTAAATTTAAAGCAAGCATATATATTACATAGTACATTAAAATATTACTAAGTACTCTTGGTCTGGATTGCCTAATAGGTTATAAATGAGTTACACTGGTAGGATTTCTTGTCTGCCTAGTAGTTCGTCTGAATACACTCATACCTTTTTTCTACCTTAGTATCTGTACTGCTACGTTCCAATCTGAAGGATATAAACAGCCATAACAGGCATTTCACACATACATAGTAAGCGTCACACCTGTAATCCCCGAAGAGGTAGGCAGAGTCTAAAGAGCAGGGAGATTCTCAGACCACGTATATGGTTTATATAAAGTTGGCTGCAGGTATAAGTTCAAGCTTCAGTCGTAAGTGGCTGCAGGCCCTGGACATCCGGACTGTAAGTTCGTTTGCCATTTAAAAAAATGGTTATCACTGTTTATTTGGTTAAAATAAGCTAGACGTAGAAATGTCCAACGCAATTTCAAGAGATATGTGTAAGTGACGAGATGTTTCAAATAGTAAATACTTCGAATTAAGTAATAATTTTTAATATTTTAAATAAACCACTGCAGTCATATTATCCGTAGTGATTGCATCTTCCATAAAAACCGGCCAAGAGCGTGTCGGGCCACGCTCAATGTAGGGTTCCGTAGTTTCCCGTCCGTCACAATAAGTGTTCCCACTTATGAGTTTGTACAAAAACTGTTGTTTCCATCCAAGTTCAAAATGATTTTCCTAGAAAGTCCTTATAAAGTTCTACTTTTCAGATTTTTTTCATATTTTCTAAACTTATGGTTCAAAAGTTAGAGGGGGGGGGGACACATTGTTTTTAACTCTTAGCGATTATTTCCGAAATTATTGATATTATCAAAAAAATGATTTTAGTAAACCCCCCATTCATTTTTAAATACCTTTCCAACAATATATCACACGTTAGGGTTGAAATTAAAAAAAAAATCACTTCCCACTTTACATATAGGGGGGCTACCCTAATAAAATATTTTTTTTCCAATTTTTATTTTACCACTTTGTCGACGTGATTGATGCACATATTGGTACCAAACTCAAAATCAGCTTTCTAGTGCTAACGGTCACAGAGATTAAGCGAGGACGGACAGACGGACTGACAGATATGGCGAAACTATAAGGGTTGCTAGTTGACTACGGAACCCTAAAAACGAACAGTATTTAACTCCCTAAAGATTTTGAACGCGAGCGTTGTCATCTTGCGGTGAAAGAAAAAGAAAGAAAGATGTGTTCCCTTAATTATACAGGGTTATTTTGCAATAACCAGCCAAATATGCGAACACGATTGTGAGTACGACTAACATAGGCAAATGGTGAAAAAAATTAATATAAAAAATACCAAACAATCTGATCTTTTAATTTTTTAAATTCAAAATGCGTGGTAATGCATTATTTTAACTGATTTTACTGCGCACGCACACATTCGTAAGGGTCGATCCGTAGAAAAAAACGTTGTTGCCCATAAATTACATTCAATTTGGGATAATTTTACATAAAAGTAAAATTATATATAATTTCGTATTCACTCGTATTTTCAAAAATTGCAATAACGGTATATCATTATTTATATTTTTAAAGTTAAGTTTAAAATTTGGCTATTCTTCGAAAATAACCCTGTATAAAGGTTGTCTCACGCTAGACCGAGTCAGTTCCGAGCTGAATGTCGTCCCATTGGTTTATAATAACTCAATGTGTCGGCCGTAGCACGGTCACCGAGCCGGTCCCGTGTCTTTAATTACAAAGACGGGCCTCGACCGAGCAATTACGCCGTTGCCCATTTTTAGGGTATATGTCTGCCATGATGCAGTATACTCGTCCGAGCAAAAATAGTGTTATAACTAGACTACAATCATGTTAAAGTTCGCGTCGTGATGAAGTATACTCATCCGAGCAAAAAATAGTGTTGTAACTAGACTACAATCATGTGTAAAGTTTGCACCATGATGAAGTATACTCGTCCGAGCAAAAATAGTGTTGTAACTAGACTACAATCATGTTGAAGTTTGCGTCGTGATGAAGTATACTCGTCCGAGCAAAAATAGTGTTGTAACTAGACTACAATCATGTTGAAGTTTGCGCCATGATGCAGTATACTCGTCCTAGCAAAAATAGTGTTGTAACTAGACTACAATCATGTTGAAGTTTGACGATCTGGAATTAGCGGCTATTGCGATCGCTCTGATAAATCTGATAAATCTTCAACTACACGCCGGGACCGAGTTGTTGCCGAGCGTTGTCCGTGCTACTGCCGACACTCGGCTCGGACCCGACACGGTCTAGCGTGAGTCAACCTTAAAAGAGAACTTCCCCGCGTTTAAATATCTACGTAATCAGTGTGTGTTTAGAAGTAACTGACGTGTTTTCTTTTTTCTTCATCAGTCCGTAGAATTCCACAGTTGGACTTGAGCCACTCCTCATGGAAGCGAGGATCGCCGAGCTTAACAGGCTGCAATCATAATACCAGAGGTCTCGCACCTGCGACGGTGCTGCCCATCGCCAGTCTGGGTGTTTTAGTTATTCGTAAATGAGATGGTACGGATGGTGGTGATTACTATGTAGTGACGGTGTAAGAATATCCACTAAACCATATCATTCTGTGGTTTTCGTAAGATGCGACAGAAGGAAACAAATCAGGAGATGGGCAGCGGCATCTTCCTGATAACAATTAATAATAAAAAGTTACGGTTGCCAACCGTCTTGCCAAGCGTGGCAACTATGGAAAATACTGAACTGCTATATTTCAGAAGTCACAATATCTTTTTAACATTTTCCACAGTTGTCTCTTCGCTCTTAACACCTTTTACACTTTGGATCATATGGGCTGTGTTGCGCAGAAATGATCCAACCCACAAAAACATAAAGTAATTCAGATTTGAAAGCGTAAAATAGTAGCTTAATGGTGTTGTGTTTCGTATGGTAAGTGTAGAGAACCGGATACCATTTTTACTCTAAAGGAGGCATTCCATCTTAGACCTCAAGGGTGACAATGCATCTGCAAATCATCGCTTTGATTCTTAATATAGGATAGATGTAGAATTCTACGGGCCACGGCATCCATTTACCATCAGTTAGGCTGTGTGCTGGTTTATCACCCTTATTCTATAAAAAACGATAAATAACATATTTATTGTGGCGGAAGCCCTGTTTATATTATATTACGTAGTACCCGGATGACCGAGCATTGCTCGGTTTTTTAAAAAATTACATTTAGATACAAATTACATACTGATGAAATTTCGGGATTAAGTAGTTGTTGTTTTTGTGGTCAAATGTGGTAAATTCTTTTAGGCAGTCACCATGCGGCAAGTTTCTTTCCTACGGACGTTCGTACGTTCCTGCGTACAGCTTATCCCCTAGTCTGATTGACTGGATGGACTCTTTAAGTGAATGGTCTCTTCGAGTTTTTTAATATTAATTTAATTAAAATTACATGATCATACACGAAGGCGGCCATTTGATTGTGTAGTGCCATTGCTCGTTAATACCTTAACACCAACACACGTTCAAAAGGCAAAAATGTTTCCGACGACTGTGTTGCCAGATATTAAAAATTTGCAAAATGTTACACATTGTGGTAAATATAATGTATTACAAATTACAATAACATTTTATACTCATTAATAACAAATAAGATAATTTTTTGGTAATGTAATTACGGCACCTTTGTGCTCCTTACGGATCAAACAGGGTTTTCTTTACATATTGTATATCAGCCGAATTTTTAATAAGTAATAAACCAGCTAATGAATAATTTAATAGAATCTGTCATTGTTTCTTTCTAATTATTTACAGAAAAACAGCGTATTAGCATTTTACGTATCGATGGCAGTGGCGAGTATCAGTATTCAACGTAGCGGCTGGTTGCAGCGCGTCGTGCAGTATCACAAGAACAATTTCTTAACTGATTTACAGAAATTGCCGCCGGTTCAAATTAAAGGCTAGTATTAGTAAAGTTTAATGAATTCAAAGTACATAATCATTCCAGAAATGATAACTATCACTTAAAGATTTATTCGAGTGTGGGGTAGCACAATTGGAACTATTGTACACGTAACCCCAAAATAGTTGTTAGATTTTGTCTAAGCATTACAATAAGCTGTAAAAAGATTCTAAGACCACTCCATTTCCGTCCATCAACATGGCCATGTCCAGTGCTAAACACGGGCTTCCCCCATAGATTGCCTCATAGGGGGAGTTTTGGCATAGTTGCCACGCTTGGCCGGCGAGTCGAAAATCGCCGTTTTTTCAATTTGAATTGTTGTCAGGAAGATGCTGCTGCCAATTTCTGTTTCAGTTTTCCTCTTGGCCTCTTACGATACCTTCAGGACGACATGTGGTAGTGGGACCCGCCGACAAACTGTTACGCAGTTTTGGGTGTGAACAATGTATAAAAGTTTTGGTCCACAATAAATGATTTATTATTATTATTATTATTATTATTATTATGTTCTTATACCGCCACTACACAGTTTCAATTCCTGAGTGAGGTAGACTCTGCGACAGCTGACCGCTAAATCAGGTGGTGATTACGGGGATAATGCACGTAATTGAGGGACGTTAGGGTATTCTCTTCAAACTAGGTGAGACACATCATTTTATTTTACGGTTCTTAGCGAATTTATTTTTAACATCTTTTATTAACAGAGACTTTGGAGCTGGACCCAACCACCTGAATGAAAGACAAAATACTTAAAGTAAAATAAGCACATGATATTTAAATATTTTATTCAATAAGCCTAAAACTTATAATATTTAGCTCTGATTACTTTCAATTGCTCGCGACGTGTAACTGTGGCATAATACTGTCTGCCTTTTTGTTGCTCCATCCATTATTTTTAATGTTTTGTTAAGTTTTTTTTGTGTGTAAAAAGCTTTTAGTATTGAATAAAAAATACATATGTGCAGTTCACATACGGTATAGGTGGAACCATATTTTATTCATAGTAAATAATTATTGAATCATTTAATATTTTTTATTTATTGAGATCGAGATAACAGGTAACACTGTATACAGTATATTCTATCTCTTTCGCTCGCAGACTAAATCCTATAGATGTATATGTTTGTCTCTTTTTCGTTTCACCGTATTTCAAATGACAACGATTCTAAGCAATATTTCACTTTAAAAATATCCTTTGAATTTATTTAGCGTCAATCGAACGCGCCCCCAGCGGCTACGTGGACCCGGACACCTGGGACCATGACTCGGTGCTGCGGTTGCTGGGGATGCTGCAGCGGAGCGAGGGCGCAGCCCCCGTGTTGCAACACTTGCGCAGGACGATGTTTAGCCGACGGTTTATGTCGTTCAGAGACACATTTAAGGCGTTCCCCAGTCTTTCCAAAGTAAGTAATTAGTGTGATGAAAATAAACTTAAAAATATCCGACAGATGGCGAAATAATATTTGTTTTGAACAAACAAATAAGAGTTACAAACGAGCAAACAGTCTATCTGATGGTAAGTTTTTTTCTTATAGAATGACAAATTGACAATATGACAATTTTTTTTTCTTAAAGGATGACAAACGAGCACACAATCCAAACCTGGTTCATTTCCCTCTGTCACCTCTTACGACACCCATGGAACGACATGGCGTATTGGATATTCTTACATCGTCACTACACGGTTTGGGTATAAATGCGGATGTGCATATATATACATATATAGTAGTTAGTATTTGACTGCCTCGTTGATCTAGTGGTTGTAGTAGTGCGACTGCTGATTATGAGGTCCTGGGTTCGAATTCCCGGTCGGGCCAAAAAATCAATTATTGAGTTTTTCTGTCAAGAAATTCTCAGTAGCTGCCGGAGTCAGAAAGTTGGCGGTGTCTCACGTAAGCTGTTGTCTCAAGTAAGGAAAGCACGTAAAGCCGTTGGTCCTGCACCTGATCTCTCTCCCGTCGTGTCGGTATGCTGTCCCATCGGATTATGAGAGTGAGGGAATAGAGAGTGCACCTGTGCTTGCGCATACACTTGAGCACTATAATATTATCCTGGGCCGATGGCTATTCTCCATTGAGGTAGGCCGCCGTGATCAAAATTCGGTCTGGAGACATTATTATTATTATTTTACATTAAAACGTCTTTACAGGACCATGTAAACTATTTGTACTACGAAGTAGACTCGGAGGAGTATTTCACAGAGACTACGACAGATCTGCCCGACGAGATCACCGATGACTCCATCATTGTCATCTCCAACCCCACAGAGGCGCGTCTGCCAGCTGCACAAATCAGCGTCAAGCTGCTCAGGTTTTCAGATGACTTTTGCTTCATTTGAGTAATGATGTTCGCAGGATATACAAATATTGTAATGGCTCTCCGTACAATAACCCCCGTAGTAGGACGTAACTACAAAAAATAAAAGAAAAAAGGTAGTTGCGGGCTGGAACACGCGTGTTGCGGAAGCGCATTGGAAGGCTGGGTTAAAGTTTAAACTGTGGGAGTGGTATGGTAAACCAATTTCCGGAACCATTTATGAGGAAATGTGTGAAGCTAGAAAAATATTCAAATCTCGCTTGAAGTGGTGTTAAGATCACGAAAATCAGTTAAGATGCATATTCTAGCTTCACGGCATTCGAAAAATGATTTTCGCTATTTTTGGAAACATACCAATAGGTTACAATGTAAACCGGGCCTTCCCGTGAGCGTTTGTGGTGTGAGTCTGAGAAAATTGTCAACTTATTTGTAGATCATTTTGCCATTAAATCTTCCCGTGGGCCTTCAATCTCGGTGCAAAATATGATACTGACGAAGATAAGAAAATAACTTTTACGGTTAAATAAATAGATCAGGTAGTTAAATCTATGTCTAGAGGTAAATCCCCTGGCCATGATGGGCTTAATAGTACCTCGGGTACTATTTTTATTATTTAACCTCTGCCTAGGACATGGATACATACCCGCTGACATGACGCCTTCAGTTATATTGGTGGAAATAAAGATATTATTATTTTTGGGGGGTATAAATATAGTTTTCTCATCTGGTTGGGTTCTATAAATATATAATTATAAATGAAAATGAAAAGATAAAATATACATAAATATCAATAACATAAAATAAATATAAAAATACATATATAAATAAAAGCCCAACCAGATGGAGGCCCTCAGCAGGGGAGACCAAACGGCCGAGGGTTAGGGGGAAAGGGAAAGTATCGAGGAGCACCGCCTTCTGCATTTGAGCCTGGAGCGGTCCGCCACGTATATTATTATAATTATTATTAGTGCCTATAGTGAAGAATAAAGCAGGCGACTTCGCGGATAAAAACAACTATAGACCTATATCGTTAGCAGATGTCATTTCAAAAGTATTTGATAGTGTGCTTAATTCGCTATTAAATAAACCATACGACAGTCAATTTGGGTTTAGACCGAAATTGTGTACAGAAAGCGCGGTATTGTCTCTTAAGCACACTGCCACTTACTACACGGCATGCAAATCGCTTTTGACCTGGTGTCGTACGACTTACTGTGGGATAAACTAAAGTAAAGCTAAAGTATTGGAGCAGACTGCACTGCCAATACATGTGCATATCGGGTGGAATGGTGAGAATATAGCACATATAAAACGTAAATGTAATTTTTTTCTTCACAAATTCTGTAATACATAATACTATGCATATTAACACAGTTATAAGTGTAGTTATAAGTAATACTAACAAAATACGAGCCTTTATGAATTCTTCTTCTTCAGAGTAATATTTGTTGAAAGTCACTCTTATGTTCAGCAAATACCTTTCTTGTGAAGAAACATCAAGAAATCCAGCGGGATGTTTTAAAAAAAAGAACAGTTTACTATAATACATTTAGTGTATATTAGAAATAGCTTGGTAGCGACCGCCTCATTCCCAGAAGTTATCATCATCCATAATTTCCTTAACATTATAAATCTTTTTGTACGAACTTTGTACTTCTTTCTTAGTTTAGTTTACGAAGGGCTGTTTTCCGCAACTCCACGTCTAAGCGCTTATTTTGCGTGTGGGCAGGAATAGCGTTTGTCATTGATTGGCAGTACTAATAGTATTTTATCAGACCCGTTATCAGATGATGCCAAAAAACTTTATGTGTTAATAAATAAGAGATTAAGTAATTAATAAGTTTATTTGTTAGTATTTAAGAATTTTGTTGTACCAGGGCGTCATAATAGCTTCAGCGACTAAGCCCTTTTTCTAAGAATAAAAAAAGGAATAGTGTTCGAGCCATGAAATCTCCCCGAAGAAGTTCAACAGTCTTTTGGTGTTGCAAGTACTTTCGGGGAGCGATCCCGGCGTGCCGAGATGTTAAGCCCTGTATGAAGCGACCTCCGGACATGTCAGACACACGTGAGCCTCCCCATGCATGCCCTGCACAGGGGGTTATCTGTAACACCTATGGTAAATAAATGTTTGATATAGGAGTCATGTCCTGTGATAGCACTTGTTACTATCCTGATCTATGGCTTGTTTAGTCTCATTAGAACTTTGGTTAGCCGACTGTTTATTTCAGGCAGGGCCTACAGTCTACTAAATTTTTCCAAAACTGAGCATGTAAATTATCGAAGTTTCTACGTACCAGTGAACGAACGTAACCAAAGAGGATTGGTATTATAGGTTCCGGCCCTATAGTGGCCAGAGCCGATTCCCTTCTGGCCAGTTCATCTGCTGCATCATTGCCTCTAGATCCACTGTGTCCCTTAATCCATTGCAGAGTCACATTTCTGTGATTACATACCTCATTTAATCGTTGATGGAATTTATATATTATTAGTCCCGAGTTCTCCACATTACAACTCAGAGCATGTAGTACCGCCATACTGTCGGGCAGTATTCTGCTGGAGAAGTCCATAGTCCAAGTCCAAGATTTACCTTCCTTGCATCTACTGCTATGGCCGCTTGGATGATGCCCATACATTCCACCTGGAAGACTGTGTTATGTGTATCCAGCGATGTACATATGTGGATATTAAGGTCTTCAGAGAAAGTTCCAAATCCTACAACTTCATTTGTTTTATAACCATCCGTGAAAACGCTAAGCTCTTTTGGGTTTAATTCCTTTCGACTGGTCTTACTTGTAAGATAGGAATTTTTGAGTAAACTCTATCAATTATACCTGCTTAGCGGACTCTACTCTTACTTAAAAGATTTAGGGTCTTGAGTCTAATGGCAGCTAAAGTTGCTTCTTGTTGTATGTGTAGATGAAGCGGGGTTAGCTCCAATATAGCCTCTAAAGCTGCTGTCGGTGTAGTTCTTATGCAGCGTGTGGCAGCCATACATGCCAATCTGTGGTAACGCTGAATGTTTTTATAGTGGTGGCTTCATTAGTTTTGGTCCACCATACCAGAGAGCCGTATGTGATCATGGGCCGAGTACTTACTTCTTTTTTGAAGTTGGTTAATAATCACTAAATAGCGCCGAGATGGCAAAAAGGGATTAAATTTAAAACAATAGTATTATCTTAAAAACTTTATAAAATTTCCAACTATCGTTACTGTTCCACTTGCACATTATCTATTATTATAAATCACTTGCAGGGAAATACTAGAGGCAAGAGCAGTAGCGGCGAGACAAATTCCGACAACGCGCTGGACCATGTGAGTGATTTGCAAAGAGTATATTATAGTCATGTGTTTTGCTTGTTTTTGCTAGTTTGCCAGGCAGACGTTGTTCTGCCCTTTATCATGTCCTATCAAAAATTCTTAAATTCGCAAAAAAATTGTGGCTCACTCATGGGCAAAAAAACTATCCTATCTCTCAAGTTGGACCAAACGGGACACGGTGTGCAAATTTGATTGAAATCGGTTAAGTAGTTTAGGAGTCCATCGCGGACAAACAACGTGACATGTAATTTATATATATTAAGATAATGATGTACCATCACTAAAATATTTTAATCAGATTCATATCTTACAAGATCTTACAGAACCGCTACAACCAGTTGTGTGTTACTCTCGAACGAAGGCCGAATATACTGATCGTTTTTTAGTTTTGAGAATTCTTACAAAAACACCGTGTTTTTCGCTAAGACATCTGTTGTAGCGAAGAAATATTTTTTATGTTACAGTAATTTTCTCTGTCCTTAAATTCTATATCTTCAACAGATTCTATAAAATATTTCCACGTTTTTTTTTTTTTGAAAATATCTAACCTTAATACTTATGTTCCCAATGAAGACATTCTGCTTATCTTCAACCACCTTCCAACCTTCTTCTTCATCCATATTCAAATCCTTGTTATTATCTACTTTTATTCGATTTTAATGATGAATTCTCAGTTTTGTTTTTTTTTATTAATTTAATCTTTTTGTCCATTTCTTTACATTTAACTGCTTCTTCTATATCTTTTTCAGCAGTATTATTTTGTCCTCATGCTTAGGTTTTGTTTCTTATATCTAGTCTCAATTTCACCAGTATCTTGCATTTCAAATTAAAAAAATACCAGGTGTATTTTTTGGAACAAAGTTTACTTTGCCAAGCATTTTCGATATGTTTTGAATAGTATACGTATAATTTAGATAAATGTAATAATTTACGATATGTACGTATGTAACATACAATCAACGTTACCAGTAACATAGAAGCGTGGTTTTCAAGGTTGTAAATAGTAAAAAATGACAAAATCGAACCGAATTTGAAATAAAACCATATTAAACACTTACGCATAGTACTACATAATATGTGTGTAATAAAAACTGTTATTTACTTTTGAAATCGTCAAGTTTACAAAAAAATATTCATGGCCGAAACACTCGCATGCAAGAAGTTCCGGGGCGAGAGGATGGCTTCTATGCGTTCCCTGTGTAGCCAGTATTATCGGTGCCATTACAAAATGCTACCACAAATTGTTTCTAATATTTAAAGCCTACATTTTGGTAACATACAAAATAATAACAAAGAAGTGAAAATGAAGAGACAAATTTTTAGTTATAGATCAAGATCAATCAATAACGCCTATTTAAAGACATGAAAACTACGATGCAGCAGTTTCACTTTGCGCCATATTGGATACTCACAATTAATTAGACATTCATTAGAAAACATATAAATTTTCTATGGTCGAACTAAAACGTCAGCGTGTTTTTGGCTAAATTTAGGGGTCTACGAATTAAACCCATTTGAATATTCAAATTGTACGACTTGCATTCATTTTAACAATACATTCTCAGAAACGCCACACACGGTCAGTTCAACTGATCATTACAACTGATCAGTTCAAACTAAAACTGTTGATATTTTTTTTTAAATATTGATAATTATACATATATCAATATCGAACTTTTATATGTAAGTTTATTGAACATCAGTGGAACTGACCGTGGGTGTCGACCATAAGAGTAAGAATTACGTAATCTATTTAACATACCTTCATTACAATTCACCAATTAGGTACTTTGTTGTATGTAATATAAGAAGTCAAAATTCGGCACATTTTTGTTTTCAAAATGTGGCTAAATCTAATGGCCTTACCCGGCTACGGTTCCATGTACAGGAAGCCTAATTAAGCATTGTCTTCACAGATTACCTCCTAAGGTAATCTGTGATCGTCTTTCTTTTTTAATGTATATTTAACTATCTATCTTATTTAACTTAGCATTGTGTATGGTGTTTCGCTTCTTCATTTATATCATTTCTTTGTAGACGTTGGAAGCCGATGAACAAAACTACCAGTACTACTCCAGTTGGAGGTGTAACGGATGAGGGAAGCAGGAGCAGCGTCGTTACGTCAGCCGGGCCAGCTGGTAAGAGTAACGTGTCAGCTTTTCAATAAAAATATACCGAGAAAAGACCTTCTCGCTTCTCGCACAGGATACTTGCGCCAAATAGCAGCATTCTGTTCTGTTTTGTACGGGGATTTAGAGAATAGGATTACATTTACTTGCTACTAGGCCTTCCTACCTCTATACTCAGGGGTGATTACTCATTTACATTTTGGTTTTTGCTCAAAGATACTCCACTTATAACATCAGGTGGACTGTGTGCTCGTTTGTCGCAATTACTTTTATTTAAAAGTGTATATGACTGCCTTGTTGGTTTAGTGGTCGTAAACGCGAATGCATACATTGACATCTCGGGTTCGAATCCCGGGTCGGGCCTATAAGAGTTATAGCGTTTTTCTGTCCAGAAATTCTCAATATTGGTCTGGAGTCAGGAAGTTAGCGGCATTTCACCCCTGTGCCTTGGAAAGCACAAGAAGCCGTAGGTCTTGCGCCTGATCTCTCTCCGGTCGTGTCAGATTGCCATTACGTCTGCACGTGCACGTGTGCTTGCGCATACACTCGTGCACTATATTCCTGTCCTGCGTAGATGGCTTTTCTCCGTTTTGACTAAACGTTACCGAAGTTCGGTCTGGAAGACATCATCATAAAGTCGGTATTATAGATAAGCATTTTTCTAAATAATACTTTAGTCTATATGAGTAGCTTACATAATTCATGAAGAGGCAGTTATATTTTCCGCACTTCCCACGTCTGAAACCCATCGGGTATTTTCATCAACCATATTTTTAACATAAATCAACCATATTTAACGTGGTTGAACCATACTGCAGCTATATTAATTGTAATGTTGTAGCACGAATGGGTCGGCTCGACCGGGGAACGACCACACTCTCACAGAATACCAGCGTAAAATAGCAGCTTAATGCTGCTGTGTTTCGTATGGTGAGTGTAGAGAACCGGAGACCCTTTTTACTGGCAAAGAGGCATTCCATCTTAGGCTTCCCCACGGCTGACAACGCATCTGCATTTTGATTCGCAAACGAGGATAGATGTAGATGTCTATGGGCCACAGCAACCACTTACCATCAGGTGGACTGTGTGCTCGCTTGTCACCCTGACCATATCCGGATACCGAACCCAGCTTCGATCCATAACAACTTATAAAAGTCCACTGCTGAACATAGCCCCCCTTCCTCAAGATTGCCATATAGGGAGGAGTTTGCCACAGTTGGTACGCTTTGCAGGCGGATTGGCAACCGCAGTTTTTTATTTGTTCGTCTGAGTAGGTAACATCCTCTTACCTATTTCTGCGGGTAGAAGGAGATTTCTGAAGGGTATAGGGAGGCACTGAGGCATTTCATCTTAGAGCTTAGAGAAGATAACATGTAGGTTCATGGTTCGTGGAAGCGACCTTCAGTTTATTAAAAAAACACTATGTTTATTAAAAGATAGCTTGATCTCTGCGACAGCTGTCAGTTAAAATCACGCCTATGAAGTCCTGAATTTCTTAGTAGTACAGACACGTAGACAGAGAAACCTATAGACAAATTGACGCCTTCTTTCGCATTCACACACGAAAAAGATAGATTTATGCATACGTCTTGCATAGAAATGAGACAAAGCGGTGTGATTTTTTGTCCCTTTCTCCATGCCGGTTTTTTTTATTTAGCAAACTACACTTTGCTAAACAACTTTGACAGTTCGTAGCGATCTATGGAGTTTACAAGTTGGTTTAAGTGAGAAAAAAGTGTTTTGTGAGCTTAAGATTGGTGAATCTTGTTCAGTTCAGTTCTTAGAACGATTAAAATTTTAATCTGAGTATGTTTAAAAGTCATAAAAATTATTGTATAACCTAAAACTGTTATCGCCCTTTCTTACTCGAGGCCACGGTAATCATTAGCCTATAGGTTTCTCTGTCTACGTACAGACAGTACCTATTAATGTCATACTTTATGGGCATGCCGACCTAATTAGTGCATGCCCATAAAGTATGACATTGACAGGTACTGTGCTGTACTACTAAGAAATTCAGGACTTCATAGGTGTGATTTTTACTGACAGCTGTCGCAGAGATCAAGCTATCTTTTATGAACCATTGGTGCGTTTGGCAGAAAAAGACAAGAACGCAAAAAAGGAGAAAGAAACAAAAAAAAAAAAAAAAAAAAAAAAAAAAAAAAAAGAGATAGACGCTAGTGACGGAATAGGGCATGGAGGTTAGAGAGAAGGAGAACAATCGCTACGTGCTAAAGCATTAGAAAATTTGTAGAATTTATTCAGCTACCAGCCGCGCTGCCGTCGGTAAATAGTATCTGCGAAGTTAGCTGTTTATGAGTACAAGTAGATGAAGTTACTTAAATAATGTACAAATTTTCTTCGCGGCATTGGTGAAAAAATAAGCGTGCTACGTAATTTTCAAATTTTTGACAAAAAGAAACATTAAAATATTATGATGAAATATTGTATTGCACGTCGATGTGCAAATGGTTTACCATCTGATCGGAAAAATAGACTGAAAAACAATTTGCGTCAATCATCGATATTTAAAGTACCAAAGGTAATGTCTTCATACGTTATAGATTCGTAGCTGCACATTGAAATATTGAATATCTAAAATGATTATTTGCTTAATTAATCATGATTTTATACTAAATTAATCTTTATTGCACTTTTAAGAAATTGTTGAAATGAAGGTTAATTACAAGATTTGCACGTTAGTAAATTCTCAAAATTTATACTAATTTATAATATTTATAACAATTAAAATTATAAAAAACATAATTTATAATTTATTTAATAATAATAATGAATAATAATTTCGTATTTTTTTATTTGAATGATATTATATACAAGTATATTAAGCGTTGATAGATCATTTTAAACTAGCGCACAATAGCCCGCTTTTATTGAGACAACTTAGCGATCGCAGCGCCTCACTTATTTTGTTCATATTTTTAGGACACTATTTTCTACAGCGACCGTTCTCTTTCTCTCTAACCTCCATGGAATAGGGTGATGTAATTTTTTACGCCGCTGCCCGCTAATCGCTTTTATCGCTATTACGTGATTATATTGCTACTTATTAAATTTGTTATTTTTCAACAGGCAGCGAAGTAATAGTAACAAGTGACAATACTTCAGCTGCTGCTGCGACAGAAGTAACATCGCCTCCATCTTAAACATTAATAAATATATAATAGTAAGGTACGTTAGGGTAATATGGTCGCCTTAAGCTTTGTCGCCCTATAAAACAAAAACTAGGAGGAGGACAGAAACAAAAACACATTATAACTAATATGAAGAAAAAATAGCAAACAAGCTTTAGCAATAATTAGGAACACTTCGAAAAATCAACTTAAATAAAACTTACTACACTACGCAATAAAATTAAAATCGACTAAAACATATTTACAATAATATCAACTGTAATAAAGCGGCCAAGAGCGTGTAGGGCCACGCTCAATGTAGGGTTCCGTAGTTTTTCGTCCGTCACAGTAAGTGTTCCCACTTATGAGTTTGTACAAAAACTGTTGTTTCCATCCAAGTTCAAAATAATTTTCCTAGAAAGTCCTTATAAAGTTCTACTTTCCAGATTTTTTTCATATTTTCTAAACTTATGGTTCAAAAGTTAGAGGGGGGGGGACACATTGTTTTTTACTTTTGGAGCGATTATTTCCGTAATTATTGACATTATCAAAAAATGATTTTAGTAAACCCCTATTCATTTTTAAATACCTTTCCAACAATATATCACACGTTAGGGTTGAAATTAAAAAAAAAATCACTTCCCACTTTAAATATAGGGGGGCTACCCTAATAAAACATTTTTTTCCAATTTTTGTTTTACCACTTTGTCGGCGTGATTGATACACATATTGGTACCAAATTTCAGCTTTCTAGTGCTAACGGTCACAGAGATTAAGCGAGGACGGACAGACGGACAGACAGACATGGCGAAACTATAAGGGTTCCTAGTTGACTACGGAACCCTAAAAATGGCGAAAATGAAACAGAATCCTTTTCACCCTTTATTATTTCATATGTATTTGATTATATTTGATGGATGTGGTTTCAGAGTTATAAGAAAGTGACCATATTAACCGGATGACCATATTACACTCACGTAGGTACTATTTATTTTTCAATCCTATTGTTAAAATGTTTCGTAATTGCGACGTGATTGGGCGTAGTAACGTTTATCTAGACATATTCGATATTAATTTTTTCAGGTTTATAAGAAATTTAAGTATCAAGGGTTTCCCTCAGTATTTATTGTATTTTATATCACAAGATTATTTTTTGCTACGGTTAAGTCTCTACTTACTGCAGTTATATTACTCGTATTATACTATGTAGTCTTTTGGATTGTAGTTTAGATCAACATCAACTTTTAATTTTAGAACTACATGTAACTACTGTCTAATAAATTAAATTTTGTTCCTAATATATTCAAATTCTATCATTTTGAGTTAGAATAAGTATAATGAAAGTAGTAGGACCGTGGCGCAGTAGCTTAGCAATGAGAAGCTGCGCTGGGGGCCGCGGATTCGAATCCCGCACGGAACAAGTATTTGTATGGCCTACAAATAATTGTTCCGGGTCAGGATGTTTGTCCTTGTGCAATTTATATTTGTAATAAATTTGTAAACTGCCTCCACGATACAGGAGAAAATCCTGGTGTTTTATAAGATTAAAAAAAATATTCCTATGCCCAACCACCCAAACGCTGTTCAATTTTAAGATGCTGTTAAACCTCGTGCTGTCTGTCACTTTAAGTCAGTGCCTGTGACACCACGAAATTTAACATCTTAAAATTGAGTAGCGTTTGAGTATTTCGCCATTAGTGTATTAATTAGTGTTACCTTACTTAATTTTAATTTTGAAGGAATATGTACGAATTTTTAATTGTAACTCTAAAGTCGTATGTTTGTGGCGGCGCTGTCGTCGCGCAACAAGCGAAACACATCAAAGCCTAAATTGCGCTATCAAAAGTTCCGAAGCAAATCAATCACCTTTCTGCCAAGGAGGTTCGTGTCCGTTTACGGTTTAATCTCGACAAGCAATCCCTAAGCAGTTTTAGGGTCCCACACCCCACCCCTATGCTATAAGCATTCACTGTCTCCCTCCCCCGCTTTCCGGAGGGGAAAACAACCACCACACGGAGCGTTGGCCGCTCCTCGGGCTGAACACTTTGCCCGGCGGGAGATCTCCGTTTTCCTTTCACGGCCACAGGTTCAAATTTGCCATTCGACTGTAGTGAAGCATTCCCAACATGCCATCATGCACTATACCCAGTACAACAATAAAACTTGATCTTTTTGTCAGATGAGTCTAGTGACAGGAAGCAGAAAATATCTAGTTGTGCAATAAATAACGTTTTTATATAGGTACTTGTAACTGCGATGAGATGGTGTGACTGTATGTATGTTTTAAACTGTTCAAAGTAAATTATTTCATTCATCAATCAACTTTATTGCACTAAACACAGGTAAGCGACGATGGGTTATATTATTCATACAATATTGAGGTAAAATGAAGGTTGAAAAATAAAACAAAATTTTCTTTAAAACATAGTTTTTAATCGGGAAGAGAAGCACAACCAAGATTCGTCATAGGAGTCGTCATCGGAACTTGTGTCATCATCTACAACTTGAGTTATTAATTCGTTTTCAACGAAATTATCGAAGTGCACATCGTGCACATTCAGACAAAACTTGTTCTTTCACATGTCGAACAACATTCGCCCAGTTTTCAGCGGTCACCTGACCACAAGCTTCTACCAACAAACAGAGCTATTTGTCTGCGGTGAAGGGAGATGTGTTGTTACTTGCTGCATTTCCTGTGAATGAAATAAGTGATGAATAAAGTAATACTATTTAATACAGTATATGTTATAATATTTATCCAGAAAAAAAAGAAATATTTACGCATTTTCACTGACCTTTGATTTGTGCCTATATCAGTTCTACGGCATTATATTGACAGTGATGGGGTGATAATCTGATAACTGGACCACGTTGCTTCCCTGCTTCGTCCAGCAAATACATTAGCTCCCTTGGTTTGTGTGTGGCCACCAGCCCAAGCAGTTCGCACTTGAGCTTTGTCATATCCGCATTTACGCCCTTCTTTACGAGCCACTCTATTATATCGGCTTTTTTGTTTGCCGGTGTCGGAGCCTTGTCAAGATGCGTGGAATAGCAGGATGCATTATCCATTATTATTATATGAGGACCGTCCAGGTTGTCCATCATTTTATAGAACCATTGTGAAAAGGTGTTGAAGTTTTTTTGGATTTAAATGCCAGTAAACAGTTTGACACAAAACCTTTGGCAGGTATTTCTGGTACTTTTTTTGGATGATTGGGCTGTATAAACGTTCCATGTTTTTTTTTCACAGTGTAATTGGCATTCAAACCAAGTTTCGTCTAAAAACACAACCTTCTCCCAATCAGAAATAATTTTCGCTTTTCTTAAAAAAATTTATCTTTTGAGTGCTGTGTCGTTCCTTTCCATAAGTATCTTGCGGTTGTTTGATTTTACGTAATGAAAACCAATTTTATTTCATAGTTTTGACAGCGAGGTTCGACCACCGTCATATAAACCAGCTTCTCTTAATGTTCCCAGCAACTTGTCAAGTGTGGGTAATCCTTTGCTTGAATAATACCCATATATGTGGTTTCGTATAGCTGCACATTGAAAATCGTCAATAACGACTATAGGTTGGATACGCCTTCGTTTTTTATTAGGAGTCGATAACTTTTTTTTATATAGAAGAGGGGGCAAACGAGCATGCGGCTCACCTGATGTTAAGTGATTACCGCCGCCCATGATCAATCGCAACACCAGGGGAATTGCAGGTGCGTTGCCGGCCCTTTAGAAAGGAGTAAGCTCTTTTCTTGAAGGTCCCCGGGTCGTATCGGTCCGGAAAAATCGCCGGTGGTAAACTATTCCACAGAGAGGTTGTACGCGGAAGAAAACTCCTTTTGAAACGTACAGTGGTGGACCGCCAAGCATCCAGATGGTGTGGATGGTATCGGGATGTTTGCCGCGTAGTGCGTTCACGAAATTTGGCGGCTGGGATTAATCCGAACAATTCCTCAGAGCACTCTCCATGGTATATGCAAAAGAAAATGCAAAGAGATGCACCATCTCTTCGCAATGCCAGTGAATCGAGCCGATCGGAAAGCACTCGGTCGTCGACGATTCGAGCCGCTCTGCGCTGGATGCGGTCAAGTGGAAGGAGCTGGTACTGGGGAGCCCCAGCCCAGAGATGGGAACAGTATTCCATGTGCGGCCGAACCTGCGCCTTGTAAAGTTGCAGGCGGTGTGCCGGCATGAAATACTGTCCCGCTCTGCTGAGCACGCCAAGCTTTTTACAGGCCAATTTGGCCTTCCCTTCCAAGTGACCACGAAACTGCACGTCACTCGATATGTCGACGCCGAGGATTCCAATACTGGCTGAGGCAACAAGGGGAGTGCCTTGAAACTGAGGAGATACGACAAAGGGGTTCTTTTTAGCGGTTAACGCGCAAACTTGTGTCTTCTGGGGGTTAAACTGGACTAGATTTAGTCGCCCCCAATCCGAGACTGTTCAGCAAAGACTCGACTTCAGACACAAGTTTATTCCGGCACTCGGAGACGTTTTTCCGAGAAATATTGGCTCGACCGGTGTAAAGAGCATCACCAGTGCTGTCATCTGCATAGCAATGAATGTTACGGGTTTGCAACATATCATTGATATGCAGAAGAAACAGCGTTGGCGACAGCACGCAGCCTTGTGGAACACCAGCATTAATAGGCTTGCAATCGGAGCTTGCACCGTCAACAACGACCTTGATGCTCCGATCTGCAAGAAAGCTGGTGATCCAATCGCACAATTTCTCGGGAAGCCCATAGGAAGGGAGCTTCGAAAGAAGCGCTTTGTGCCAAACCCGATCGAAGGCCTTCGCAATATCCAAACTAACGGCCAATGCCTCCCCCTTGGACTCTACTGCCTCCGCCCTTCTGTGAGTTAGGTAGACCAGAAGATCACCAGCTGACCGACCACGGCGAAAACCGTATTGGCGGTCACTTATCAGCTGGTGATCCTCAAGGTACCTCATGAGCTGGCAGTTTACAATGGGCTCCATTGTTTTGGAGAACAAGGAGGCGATACCAGGGTCTGAGCGGTCGCCTTTTTT